AAAAGGTGTTGGGGGAGGTTGGTTAACTGTTCTGTTCTCTCTTTTGGCCATGGGAATGTGATTTCTTTGTGCCATCAAGGTTCAAACACATTCCTGTCAGGCCATGGGTATTATGAGCATTGATTCCCTGCAGCAAAACAGCCTGTTGCTTCTGGATTCAAACGAAGGCTCCTTCCCATAACACACTGCAAGGTTAAACAGGGAGGTGATTCAGAACAATACATTAGAACAAGCCACCATGAGTAAGGACATATTCAAACCTTTATTATCATGAGATGACAGAACAGGTTTGTATAAATCATTCATAAACAATAAATACCCATATAGTCTCAATGAAGATCTAAACATAAATCTAGAAAGCCTAAAAAGTAGCCTACCGACAGAAAACTAATATTTTAAAGAAAACATAGTCTAGATTCTAATCGTAGTTTAGTACAAGTCTTGGCATTGGCCTAGATAAGGGGTCTGCAACCTTTTTGACCAAAAGAGCCATTTTCTTCCTTTTTCCAAAATATTTTTTTGTCTGGAGCCGCAAAACATATTTCATAGCTTGATAGCTAATAAAGTTGTATTTATTGTTATATCAGACAAAAACTACAGTTGTTTTGCATTTATTAGGCTATTTATTACATTATATAAAACTGTTAACCTCTAATAAGAAACAAAGAACTCCTATAAGGAGAATTAAAAATAATACACAGGCCTACTTTAAAATAAATTAAACACAGCACTTGGGGAGTCCTCTGCACATTTGAAGGAAAAAAAAAATTATTAAAATGTGCCCACTTTGAAATAAATAAAACATATAGCTGCACCCTAAAAAGAGTTAAAGGTAGGTTAGGTAAGAATGGAGAAACCAGCTCGAGTGCGCTAGAATTTGAAAATACACAACCGGAAAAAATATGCCTCTTCCTTCAGACTTCCTCACAGAGCCCCTCCTCCAACACACAAGAACGCGCACATGACCAATGAGGGAAGAGATAAGTTTGTGCACAGATGGAAGGCTGAGAGGCAGGTAGGCCATCCAGTTACTTTAGCGGGCCGGCTAAAATGATTGGTCGTGCTTTTTACAGCGCTACGGCTTCCAGAGATTAATTTTTGTAAGTATTTATTGTCAAAGAATTTAATATATTCATTGCTATCGGGACGTTAAGAGCATTCCATGGAATATAACAAAAAGTGTTTTCTGAAATAAATTACATACCCCATTGAATTAAGACTGAAGATTGTCAGCTGTCTTCCTCTCCCGTGTTGTTCCTCGATGCGTAAAGGCTGCAGCACCGTTGACAACTTCTCTCTACATATCAAACATACCAGCATCGTTTTGCTTCAAAGCATATAACTCTGTCCACACAGAATTAAATCCTGTGTTCCTCCGGTACTTTTCTTTGATTTATCCATAGTTCGCTCATCGAGCCGGGGGTCAGGTTATTCACCCGCGGGAAAAGGCGCTGGCGCGGGACCGTAGCAGGATGTGACGCATATTTTAGTTGACCTAATTAAAACCGTTTTGTTTTTTATTTATGTGTCACAGTATCACCTCAAAATACAAGATACGAAACATTTTCAACCATGCAACAAAATATAAATAGTCCTACAAATACTTTTATTTTATTTCCTTCTTATTTTTGTCTAAGCTCAAGGGAGCCAGAGCAGAGGGCTTAAAGGGCCGCGGGTTGCCGACCCCTGGATCAGGATAGACGAGTCTGGTTTAAGCATCCGTAGCATGCTATTAGGACTGACTGACTGAGTTAAGCCTGAGGTTAGAGATGTGTTGCTGTCATAATGTAGCTTTAGCTAACTTGTTTATCTGCTTCACTGTTTGTCCATTACAATTGCTAACTGTTCGAACTGTGTGTATCCATGGCTTTGTTGCTAACTTTAAGCTAACTATTTAAACTGTTCATCCATTACTTTAAGACAACTCTTCGTAACTATTTTTCCGTAGCCTTTTATTTTTTAGCTAACTCTGCTAGTGCTTATCTTTTAGCTATCTTTTTTTAATGTTTATCCATTAGTTTGAGGTTATTATAATTTGGACATTGAATTACTTTGAATACCTTTTAGCTAACTATTTAGACCATCTATCTTATAGACTTTTAGTAGCCTACTTCAACTGTGTATTTATTACTTTTACCATTACCATTTCCTTGTGGTTAATTGTTCATTCATTTAGGAGTGTCCTTCCTATCCCTATTTTCCCTAAAACCCTGTTTTTTTACGAGCACCTAACACACCCTTTTTCTACGGAATACAATGCTAACGACAATCTCTATTTCTTATACTCTAAAGTTAAGTTAGCTAGTGTTTGAGTTAGATCTTTGTCTCTCTGCTGGATCGCCTTGAGTTGGCTGTTTCATATCAGCGGCGAGCCAAAAAGCTTCAACAAGCGCCCTGCTGATGCACTGCCATGCGGTGCTTATCCTCATCCAAGCTTAGTCCATATCCATGAGTGTGTTTGCATTGGGATTTATGAATGTGAAGATGGCCCATTCTTGCCTCTCAAGATGACTCACAAGACCAGCATTTTGGCCACTTACGCTGTGAAAGCAGCCTGGGGGATGCCCTTTCAGCACTCGAGGACCTCTGGCTGAGTCCCCTTCACACGGGAGCTCAGCCTCACTTGGGAAAAAGTCCCTGCTCTTTACGGGGGAGCTGTCCTGAGGGATGGCGCGCTCCTTGTCCCGGGGCCTCCCTTCTTCACCTGCCGGCTTAGCGCTCATCGCTTATGCACATAATCCCTGGTTAGTGCATGTGATCCACCAGCCCGGGCCCCTGGCCCCCGGGACTCCCCTGCTCACATGCTTGCTGTGTGGCTCCTGGGTGGCCATGGCAACTCTCATCTTCTCATGACAGTTAGGCCTCAGTCATGGCTCTAAGTCCCTCTTCAGTCTTCAGTCTCTGTGCGTCTTTTTCTGTCCGCTGCTTTCTGTCTCCTAAAGCCCTCCTCTGTTTGTGTGTTGCTCTATCTATGGCTCTCTGTGTCTCTTTTCTCCCACTGTGGCTGTTCCCATGCTTTGGCCCCGGCTGAGCCTGAGAAAGCGGCTATAACTCAGCAACAGTGTGGCACCTTCAGGGGCCACAAAACGCATTATAATGCCGTTCTATTATCAATTTAAACTGCAGATTGTGGACCAAATGAAGACCTGACCTGGTTTTTTATTGTGAGTCTGATCTGTAAACTGAGATTGTAAGATACGCTTGTGCACTTCTTTTCAGTGCGCTCGCTGCAGGCCTCTGAGTGCAGATCATCTTGCAACCCTGCAGCCTCAACCATTAGTTTGTGTAAAGCGCTGAATATCGCACGGGCCCTCGAGGGAGAGCCAGAGAGGCAACCCGGCAGTGCTGTGTGGCCCCGCGCTAACAAGTGTCACAGTGATCCGGGCCCGTCCTCCCCCTGTGTGAACGCCATGTGAGAGGCGGCTCCATCCATGCCCCTGCCACCTCCGCACAAGGCCCTCCATTGACTTCTAACCTGTTGAGGGACCACGGAAGACAAAGAGCTGCGGGGCGGGGCCCGTCCCTCCGACAAGCCTGTGAACAAACGTTAACACGGCTGCAACTGTCCACCCCCTGAATCACTGAATTTATTGACCAACCACAGAGCCCATTCAGGCCTGGAAGGACTGATAAAGGAAGGGGGACAGGGAGTGCGTGAAGTCCAGGGGACGGAGCCCATGCTTAGGGGACAGAAGGGTGGAGAAGGTCTTTGTGACCGTCTGGTGGGTCACAGACCTTTTACCAGACGTGGGTGCCTTTGTGTCATCTGTAAAATGAGGCCAACCTTAAGTGAGCATCAGGTTGGCCTTGTGTCTTGACTATAAATCACAACGATGGTCCAACAACAGTCAGAGAGAATGCAGCAAATTGGCATCTATGTGCGGACTCAATGAAGGTCACAAAGTCACACAAGTGTGTGTGTGTGTGTGTGTGTGTGTGTGTGTGTGTGTGTGTGTGTGTGTGTGTGTGTGTGTGTGTGTGTGTGTGTGTTTGCTAAAAGATACAGTGATACAGCATTAAATGTTGGTGCGCTAAAGTGTGCAACAGTGGCTGTGCCTCTACAATCTATTCTAAGTGGGTGTGATCCCTCTGCAGGAGTGACCAAAGAAACAGTAAACAAAGCCTGTGTGCATAAGCCCAAATCTTGAAAGTACACAACTAGACAAAAAAAACGTATGGCCAAAAGAGAAAGGAGATGAAGTCCAACATGTTTGAAATAGCACACGTCTGAACACAAGCTTGAGAAAATCTTTTTGAGCGAGTAGCTGGCTGTGAGGAAGAAAGGCTGTGTGTTTTAGCTTCTTTATGTCTCTGCACCACTCTCCATCTGTTGCTCAATAGCACAAAAGGAATACAGCAGAGTACACAAAAACCCATATTGCTTTGTGGAGAGGCAACACTATCCCCCAAACTACATGGCAAACACGGCAAAGCAAGACATCCCCGGCTCTGTCCACATCAGTGTTTACTGAAAAGATGATCCGAGGAGACACACATGAATTCATGATGCCTCCTCATCCTCATCATGAATATTCCCAAAAAGGCTCTTCCCTGATCTGTGGGAGATCTTTTCTCTTTGGTACAAGCGAGGACCCCCTTCCCTCATTCACAGTCCCCCCTAAATCCACCCATTCACTGCCTATAGGCCCTGATCTCCACATGAAATGATACCCCTCTTTCTCCTCCACTCTCGCGCCCTTTAAGCACCCATATGCCAGGCAGCGAGGAGGCTGGGAAAGCCCATAATTGATCAGTAAGTCTCGGCTGAAAAAGTGTGACCAAGGTCAGCCCCCCACGAAGCACGCAAGAGTAGCTTAATATACAGGTTTATTGGGAGATGTAATGGGAGTTCTGCAGAGCAAACAGGAATTTTTGTTGACGGACACTGAAACATTTGATTGAAATAAGAAAATAAGTACACATATTAAAAAGATTGACATATTCCCTTGAAAAATAAATTACAATTTTCATATTTCTAAAGAGGATATTTAAGAGAACAATTCTCATGTTTCATTTATTCATTTTAATTGTTACTTAAAATACACATTCAACAGCTGTAAAAAGTTATAGACAAATATTATGAAAATTAAAAGATGAATCAACTATTATAAATTCATCACAGCAGCAAGTGTCTCATTGATTCGTTTTGATTAATTCACTTGCTTTGAGACATTAAATATGATCAGTCTTGCACAGTACCTTAGTGATTTTAAACGGTGTCATTCTTTTTCATTTAATTAAAAAAAGAAAGTCATATTATGAGAAGACTTTACTAAGCATCAAAGGACACAGAAATGGTTTATTCTCTTTTTAAGCAATGCACTTTTTTGCTCTGTTCCACACAAGTACACACATGATCCGCCAATACAATTTAGAAAATAGGGACACAGAAATTCCTGTTTCTCTCTTCCACAGGAAGAACTTCAATTGAAGCTACCCTAAGACAGAAATGCAGCAGTGGAATGTTTGTTGTCTTAGAAATAAAAAAAGTGTCCCATGTGTCTTTGAATTCATACATCCTAACAATGTTTTACAACTTTAGGATTATAGCAGCAGCTAATGCTAGTGGAAGACAGTGCGTGCTTATTCACAGTGAAGCAGAGGGTTAGGCTGTTGATTTCATTTCAAACCTTTATTTAACCAGATTGGTCCCATTGTGATCTATGATCCATTTCCTTTTTAAATAAAAATGTAAAATAATGGTAATTTAATTTAATAAAGAACTGTTCATTCATAAATTAAATGTAATCATACTAAAAGTTTCAACGCATGGGATTTAAATGCAATGTATCTTTGAGTATTAAAATACTTACATTGTATTGTTGTCTGTTGATTGACCCGGCTGAGCTAAACAGCGGCTGATCTGTCGCACTAACACAAAAACGCACTTAACTACATTGCGACAATGTAGTTAAGACATCTACTCCTGTTAAATGAATGACTTCTCACTTGTGAAATGTGCTGGGTTTTTTCTTGCTGAATTATCTGAGAAGATTGATCCCATTCTGATGTGTGTTTAATGAAAACTGCATTGGGTTGTATTTTAGACTAATTATGATCTAGACTAGTAATGAATAAACCTAGCTTGTTAATATGTCGACTTAAAACATGTATACATTTCTGGCTTCCAGCAACCAGTGTTTGTGATAAACTAACCAATTGCTGTCACTGCCTTTACATTTACTTTAGATTAGGGTGAGGCAATGGAAACATATATATTTTATATAAAACATTTTTGGGGCTATCTTATTTGGATAATTTCATGATTCCCCCGCCCCCAGAAAAAGGGCAGCAGTAAAAACTGCAGGGTTTATTTAAACCAAACCAGTTGGTGATTGTTGGAAAGTTGAAAAGACCTAACCATCACAGGTTTGGTGAGTTTAATTTTGTTTCAGTCATGTTTGATTTAATTGTGTTTTATGATGGGATTGAGGCAGCGCACAGCGCTGCACACAGACATGCAAACACACACTTCACAAACATATCAGCAATCACCTGCTGTTTGGCTCACAGTGGTTAGTTGACATTTTAACATCTAGTTTAACCCTAGAATAGTTAGAGTTGTCTTAGACCTTGTCGTCTAACATATTAGCAATAGAGCGATTAAGCGTACCACATTTCACAAAATGGTGAGCTGTTCCTTTAACAGAGATCTCTGGCTCATGTTTCAGCAGTTTGACAAGAGTTTGTCTGTTGAGGAGGTTGAACCAAAATGGAGGAGAACCTTCTGTATGAGCAGCTCACAGTGTCTGTTATATTAGGACGCTTCACACATCATCACCATCATCATCTTCTCTGAGCTCAATTCAAGCTGTGATTGTATCTTCAGTCTGTGCAGTAGTCTGCTTGTTGGTGTCAGAGGGGGGCAGAGAGGCGGGATTGTGGATCGCTGGCGAAGGTGACAGTGGAGGGTCGGGGGGGCCAGTCTGTGTTGTCCTGCAGCTCCAGGGCCAGGTGCATGTAGAGCACCCGGGGGGGCTTGTTTGTCTGACAGAACAACCGGGAGAGGAAAGACGAGGCCCAGTGCTGGTTGGCCTCCTGGGAGTGTTTGAACATTAGAAACGTTAAGAAGCCAGCAATAATATCTGTGACTAAAGAACATTGCGTATTCAGAACATACTCACATGGCAAGATGATGCACAGAACAGGAAATACTAGGGTACTAGCAAAATGTCTCTACATTGCTTGATGCATTTATATGAAGAGCTGTTTTTATATTCATAAATGTTTTGTGACGTTGCAGTGACTAGTTTCTCCATTAGTGAGGATGTGTGTAAAATAAGTCAAACAGTCATGAAAAGACCATTCATTGATTCATGAGATTAGCCATAATGAGTGAATGAATTGCAACACAAACAACCCAATAAAAAGTAGTACAACAAATATAATAGTCTATACTAGTTCTATTAGTTTCTATGGATTATTTACACATCAGCCACAGCCTGTCACCAGAGGAAAAATATAAAGCAAGAGAATTAGAGGGTTAGGACTTGCGTAACTGTTTAAATAAATGAAAGCAGACAAAATAAAAAAGTGAAAAGCTTCCCAACCTTAGGTGTGTCAGAAGAGGGGGGCTCTGTGGGCAGATTTAGCCCCTGATTGCTTCTGAAAACTAGCCTCCGCATGACGATGTCAACGATCAAAATCTACAGAAGATTTGAGTGGGAACTTGAGAAACGAGCTGGTCATGAAGATCGGGCTACAGCCACAGAGAAACAAGCCCAAAGAGACTCACAGAAACACGACTCATTAATTTCATTCATTAGTCGGTGATGCACAGATTCAGCAAGAAAATCAATGCATGCAAATCAGTTTCCTAATTAAAAAACGGAGATCAGTCACAGAGGGCTTTGTGGGGTTTGATGTCTGTAAAGCCTACCTCCAGAATGAAAGACACAGCCGCATTCACGATGACAATGATGACGAGTGTAATGCGCCAGTCGTGGGGAACACACACGATCTGAGGGAGAGAGCGGCAGGAAGAGGGCAGTGAATGCAACACCACACACATTCATAGACTTCATGTCACTTCCAGGCAGTTACACAGTTTCTCTGACGCTTACCAGGTTTGGAGAATGGTTGTTTTAGAGATGCCAGTGCTGCAACAACAACAACAACAACAACAACAACAACAACAACATACAATTCAAGTAAAAAAACAAGTTTACCTCCAGGAAGTTGTCGATGGCACGAACAGGATACAACATGATGAAGAGGAGAAAAGTGTACAGGGCGATGCAGGACAGCATGAACGGCCCTTATGAAATAAAGAAACAGACATTCAGTTGAAACGCCAGATTAAATAGTTCTCTTTTAACTTGCAAGTATATCACTTCACTTATACATATATAAATACATGTGAAGTGAATAGTGTCAGGAAGGATTGTAATTGTATACATTTGTTTGTCAAACTTCATAGAATTTATACAAAAAACTATTTTCAGAAAATAAAAGGATGTATTCAGGAGAATGAGTTTGAACAAGTGAATTTGGAATGACAGATTGAAATAAATTAAACTTTTTATTTTTTATTATTAACAAAAAGACCTTTACAATTCCATTTTTTTAATTGCTAATGTGCCTCGTAGATTTGTTCTTGATTTGCACTGACAATAATCTCTTTACATACACATCGCTCTGACAGTTCTTTTTTTTTTTTTTTTTTTCGAGGGTGTAAACTAAAGAAAATACAAATGAAACAAAAGGTGATACAGACATGATACAGTACTATACAAATGAATGCAATAACAAAACGAAACATTTAATTAATAATTGAATAATCTGTAGTAGCATTGTCTGATATCAATAAACAACAAAGCTTTAGCTAATTACACGTCCCACAGTCATTTCACAAGTCTTACAGTTCCTGTAGCTGGGCTGTCTGAAGGGCTTCCCCTTGGAGAAGATGATGGCCACGGCCAGGTACTGGAAGGAGGAGATGTAGAAGAGGGTGGTGTTCTCGTAGTTCTTGATGTTTTTGTGCTCGTGAGGGCTCGTTACATTCAGGCCGTGGGAGAGGCCGGAGCGGGAGGCATTGCAGGCGCTGCAGGAAGAGAGAAGCACAAAGTTAGAACCAACATGTGACAGGTCTGCACTCATAGGAACAAATCAGCCAAAATATGCTTCAAAATGTCACCGTTTCAGGCTTTTGTGCAATCCGTTCTGCTGTTTACATTCATTTGATCTACTTAGCAGTTTTTAGAAATGTAATTTTTCCTTTAATAGTATTTATTTATTTTTTAAAGGGACATTAAATAATATAAAAAATAGCAGTAAATGCGCCAGAGTTGCCTAAGAGGCTTTTTTTACATTTTTGCAATACAATTTGACGTAACTGCCTGAACAACAAAAAAACATACACATATATATATATATATTAATGCTGTCAAAATTATCGCGTTAACGGCGGTAATTACGTTTTTGAATTAATTGCGTTAAAATATTTAACGCATTTAACGCATGTGCAGAATGGCCTGCCCCATACATCCCACCACTGGCAGCGCCAGGGGCCCTTTCTCATTTCTCTAACTCCCCTCCTCGACTCCTATCCTCGACTCCTATCCTCGAATCCTATCCTCGAGACTTAGTCCCGCCCACAGGAGATGCGAGCGGAGTAGCCGAGGAGGGGAGCCGAGTAGAGAGGAGGGGAAGCAGCAGGCGGTTAGAGAAATAAGAACTCCTCTCCTCTGAGCGGTCATTTTAAAGAGACGTCCATTAATGATGACAGGAGGCACAGCAGCCCTCTGTCTGATGGGCAGATGTGTTCATGATGACTTATATACTTTTAATTCATTCACAGTGCGGTATAATGAGACAATAACAGGCTACAGATGCGGGGACACACACAAATTTATATATGTATATATTTATATAAATATATACAATTTCAGAATCAAACAGAGCACTCTCATAATAACGTAACACATCAGAGACTGGATATATCCCCCCTTCCCCCTCTCTGGTCGCTACAATGGGGAATTGAAATTACGGGCCAAAAGTTTTATTTACAAGTATTAAAAGCAAGCAAAGGACACCAAACCAACTGAGACCCGTCTGTCCGCCGCATCTACGCACTGTACAACACACACATACACACTGTACCACACACACACCTACACACTGTACCACACACACCTACACACTGTACCACACGCACCTACAGCTCCTAAAGCATATAATCAGGCTACAGCCGTTTTGTGTTTTATTATGTGAAGCACTAAATGGTTTTAGAAAAATATCAACTCTTTGTTTGTAGATATCTACTCAACTACAGTAGTCATTCTCTACTGTAGAATATAAAATATATATCACTCAGTATAACAGGCCTACTCTCTTTAGGCCTGTTATACTGAGTGATATATATTGTACACACTGATCTGCTTTCTGCATGGACCTCACTGCTGTTCTCACTGTAAATATCGCGTCGTGATGAAAGCAGTTAATAAAATAATATCCAGGGAATGCATGCAGAGCTGTCATTGGCTGAGACAAGTCCGGCCATGCGTCACGACTCTTTGAAACATCTCTGTTCCCGGAAATGCATCTACGAAGGAGCCGTGGGGAGAAGACCGTGGAGGACCCATCAGTGTATCCTCGGTTATAGCTCCTCCAGAGAGCCTCCTCGACGCTCGATCCTCGGTCCTCGAAGTGCATTTAGAGAAATGAGATGTCCTTCAACATGGCGGAGGACCGAGGAGTCGAGGAGTCGAGGAGGGGGATTTGATTAAATGAGAAAGGGCCGCTGTGTCTCTCTGTGTGCGGGGGGCGGGGCCTAACAGACATGCTGCAGCGGACACAGAGATCTGCCGGGGGCGGAGCGTTCAGAGAGTATAGAGACACATTTTGACTAAAAGTTGACTGAAATTAAATTTTTCATCGACTAAAAGTTGACAAACGTTTTGAGTTTTCGTCGACTAAAACTAGACTAAAACTACGAAGGATAGGAATAACTAAAATGTGACTAAAACTAATAACCATTTTCGTCTAAAGACTAAGACTAAATCAAAAACAGCTGCCAAAATTAACACTGGCATATGCGAACACAAACCTACAGAGGGGGTTGGGAGATCACAG